TCAAATCCCTCTAAACCCTTCCTATTCATGTACCCATCCAGATGCCTATTAAATGTTGTAATTGTACCAGCCTCCACCACTTCCTCTGGCAGCTCATTCCAAACACACACCACCCTCTGTGCGACAACTTTGTCCCTTAGGTCCCTTTTAAATCTTTACACTCTCACCTTAAACCTATGCCCTTTAGATTTGGACTCCACTACCCTGGGAAAAAGACCTTGGCTGTTAACCCTATCCATGTCCTTGACTTGATCCAACATCGCAGTTCCTTCCTTGCCACAGGGTCAAAAGTCAGGAGCTCCTTCCCTGTCGGCCTGTGGGTGTATCTACACCAACAACAACTGCAAAGTTTTAAGATGGTGTCTCCCCACCACCTGCGAGCAATTAGGGATGGGTGGCGAATGCTGACCCAGCCAACAATGCCCATGCACAAGAAATGGTAAAAGAAGTGACTTGAATTACAGCATGCAGATTAGCTGCAGCTAATGCTTACTGTGTAACTAGGGTCAGCCTCTCGAGCTAGCGCTGTTTCACTCTGACCATCAAGGTGTCACTTTCCTGTCTTGTTGCTGCCAGACACACCAATCGTTTATATTCTGTTTAATTGTTTCTGCCGCTGCATAGACCTCTTAGGTCTGTGTCTGTGTGTGGTAACGGCGTCAGGAATCGGATGTCGCTGAGTCAGTGCACCCATCAGCATATGTAGACCCTCTAAGCAGCTGCATAGCTGATGATTGCAGAAAGTCTGTCTTGCATTGCCACAGCTCTGTACATACCATACAATGATGCCTTCCATCCCCAATACCCAGTCCTTTCATTGAATTATTTACATAGGTTTGAGGGCTTCCTATGAATTAGAAGTCTTTGCAAATTGCCGTTAGGTTTTTTAAATTTCTGGGAGCCATTTTAATGCTTTTGATGTTCTTAATCGCAGGATTTGTGTGAATATTTATAAATAATATGCACTTTTTTTTCCCCTTTCAAGCTTGACCTGCTTGAGGACCAAACATGGAGTTGGTGAAGAATGTTCACTCTGGCCTTCCTCTTCCTGAGCCAGACTCTGAAATCCAGCGGCTCTCTCTGGTCCGCGGCGATTACCTCTACTATCATTATGGCTGTGATGGGACAGATGACTGTGGTTGGGGCTGTGGCTACCGGACGATGCAGACACTCTCCTCCTGGATTATTCTGCAGCAGACGAACATAAAGAACGACCGGGTGCCCTCCTTGAAGGAGGTGCAGGAGGCACTGGTGGAGATGGAGGATAAGCCCCAAAACTTCGTTGGCTCTAAGACCTGGATTGGCTCCTTTGAGATTGCACTGTGCATCGATAAGTTCTACGACGTCCCATGCAAACTGGTCCATGTGCGCCGAGGGGGTGAGCTCCTGCAGAAAGTCGATGAGCTCTACCTGCACTTTGACACACTGGGTTCCCCCGTCATGATGGGTGGTGATAATGACAATGCTTCTAAGGGGATTCTGGGCATGTGCACGGGCATGGAGAACCACTACCTCCTCGTCCTCGATCCCCATTATTCTGGGAAGACCTTAGACAAGGAATATGCCCAAAGGAAAGGCTGGGTTGCTTGGAAGAGGCTGGACTTGTTTGACCAGAATTCGTTCTATAACTTCTGCCTCCCTCAGTGCAAAGGTGTGTAACCATGCAACGTCACTGCCACACATGTCCGTCTACTCTTGCATTGTGGTCTATTTATTGAACAGCCATGATAATTGGTTGAAATGAAGCTTCAATTAAAATATGCTCCTGTACAAGGTTAATGTAACATGGTTCTGTGTCCCATGTGATGAAGGGTTGGGATATGGGAGGAGCAGTCCTTTCTAAGTGAAAGGGTGAATGTGGAGTAATGTCCAAGGAATGTCTTATTGTTATTTGCGAGGGCACAGCCAGCATTTGTTGACTGTCCCTACATGCCCTCGAACTGAATGGATTGCTAGGCTATTTCAGAGGGCATTTAAGATTGCTGACAATCTGGAGTCACGTGTAGGTCAAACGGGGTGAGGACGGTGAATCACCTTCCCTCAAGGATATCAGTGAACCAAAAGGGTTTTTGCAATGCTCAACGATTACCATTACTGAAGTCACTTTCATATTTCAGATTTTATTAATTGAAACAGTCCATATGCTCCCCATAAACCCATGATGCCAGTGCTTTGCCTGGACCTCTGGATTACCTCCACTTAGAGTCATATGAGATATTCAGCACAGAAACAGGCCCTTTGGTCCAACTCGTCCATGCTGACCAGATATCCTAAAAAAATTAGACCTTTTTGCCAGCATTTGGCCTATATCCCTCTCAACCCTTCCTATGCATGTACACATCAAGATGCCTTTTAAATGTTGTATTGTAGCAGCCCCCACCACTTACTCTGGCAGCTCATTCCATACATGCTTCACCCTCCGCGTGAGCACAGTCCTGTTCCAGATATGCTCTGGTCTGTCAACACAGTTTCTGTAGATTATCAATATTTTTAAACACTTGTGTAGCCTTTTTAGCAAAGCATCTGAAAAGATGCCTCATGGGGAGGCGATGGCCTACAGGTATTACCACTAGACTGTTAATGCAGAGGCTCAGGTAATGTTCTGGGTACCCAGGTTCAAATCCTGCCACAGCAGATGGTGGAATTTGAATTCAAATAAAAAAAATCTGTAATTAAGAGTCTAATGATGATGACGAAACTGTTATCGATTGTTGGAAAAACCTGTCTGGTTCACTGATGGCCTTTACGGAAGGAAACTGCCATCCTCACCTGGTCTAGCTTACATGTGACTCCAGATCCACAGCAATGTGGTTGACTCTTAAACTGCCATTTGGGCAATCATGAACGGGCAATAAATGCTGCCAGCCAGTGATGTCCTCATCCCATGAAATAATAGAAAAAAATGCAAAGGTACCAGGCAGCAGTTTGAGGTGCCACATATAGGAATGAATCTAAAGGCATGATCTCAGACAGTGCTTCATGGATGTTTTTGGCTAAAGGACAGCTTTGCGAAGAAGTGTAATCCTAGGGACCCTGATTATGCTATAATTCTCATTCAGTGTGCTGGAAACAAAGACTGTTTGAACGCACTATACGGCAGAGGCAGCTTACTTACTGACATAACCCTGAGATGGAGATACCCACATCTTACTGTCGAGAGATAGTAAGAACTGCCGATGCTGGAGTCAGAGATAACACTGTGGAGCTGGAGGAGCACAGCAGGCCAGTCCCAAAACATCAACTTTCCTGCTCCTCTGATGGTGCCTGGCCTGCTGTGCTCCTCCAGCTCCACACTGTGTTATCACTGTCCAGTCTATCTGTCTTTTGCTATGCTTTGCTGCTGCTTTCAGGATCAGCCTCATTGACTCCACATACACTAGAGTCAGATAGTTGTGGGTTTGAGTCCCACTTCAGGCATTTTGGGGCAAGACTGTAGGTTGGTGGAGCATTGTACCATCTGAAATGCTGTTTGGCAGATGAAAGACTTGACTGAGAGCCCAGAGGAAAGTAAAAGATCCCATAGCAGTATTGTGAAGAGTGGTGGGCTGATGGCATGGACACGGGTAGGGGAGTGGAGTTCTTATTTTCTACTTACTATCATTATCATGGGAGCTTACAGTGTAAGTTTACTGCCACGTTCCATTATTCTCCAGATCCCTTTTCTGTAGGACCAATGCTCACTTTGTTAACTATAGAAATATTTATAGAAGCTCTTGCTGACTGTTTTTATATTTCTGGTTAGTTTACTCTTGTATTAAGTCGTTACTTTTTTTAAAATTCTGTCCAATCTTCTGGCATATCACCTGTCTTTGCAGCCTTATATATTTTCCTTCTAAGTTTGAAATTATCTTCAATCTTTCTAGTCTGCCACCTGTAGTGAGTCTGTCCCTTGGGATTTCCTTTCTTGTTATAATGTATACATTCTGTATATTCTGAAATATTCCCTTAAAGTACCACCTATAGAGTCTCTGACCCATTCTCTTCTCCTTCAAACTGAATGTAAAATTCAATCATAATGGTAGTTGCTACCTGGGGACTCTCACTGAGGTCATGAATTAACCCTATCTCATTACACAATACCAGATCTAATATAGCCTGCTCCCTGGGATCAGATCCAAAATATGCTCTTCTGAGAAACTATCCTGAAAGCATTCTCTGAATTCATCTATGTAGATCAAAATTTCCCATGTGGCTTTCTGACAAATTAGCATTATTTCATCTTTTATACCTCAAACTACTGTGTGATTACTGTTAAGGGCCCTGTATACCACTTATACCACGTGACTTCTTTCCTTTATCATTTCATATTTCTATTCAAACTGTCTCCACACCTTGATTTCCTGAACTTAGGTCATCTGTATCTATTGTAACGATGCCATCATTAGCTAACACTTTACATTTCCTAGCTTCCTGTTCTACCTAAATACATACCTTCAATATTCTGGCCCTAATTCATGTCATCCTGTAGCCATGTCTATGTAATGGTTACCCGATCATATTTATTTATACTTTTTTTTGTTTTAAATACTGTATGCATTCACATGCAGAGTCTTTAGCTTTGTTCTTCTATTCCTTTTGTTTTCCTCTAATCTTATCTGTTTGTTTTTCTACTGGACTTGTACTGTTTATCATTTCCCTTATTATCACTTTCTCTGTTGCCTTGACTCTATAATTTACATCATCTTCCCAAAATTATTAGTTTAAAATTCCCACTCACTTCCCAAGTTATACAGTCCCCTAGAACCAGCCTCGTTCAGGTGTAGACTATCCCAAAAGTACGGATCTCATTTTTCCCAGACCTGGAGCCTACTCCTCCCACACTAATCTTGGAGCCACACATTCATCCCTTTGGTTTACTTCATTGGTAATTTGTGCATGGCTGAGGTGATAGCCTAGAGATGAATACCTTTGAGGTCCTAGCTACTTATTCTATCTATGCAGAAACTTCTTGTTCATCCTTTGTTGTTAGAGTCTCAAAATCACATTCCTGCCACCTTCTATTTGCATGCTCTCGAATCTTAGCAGCTGCTAACCTGAGTTGCCATTTGTCTGCAAACCCACCTATCCTTGAATGGGGATGCAGTGACTCTGATTAGAACTTAAGAGACAAGGTTCTACCTTCTCTTGGTGTCTGGTTGTAACTTGCACTTCTGGGACAGGATCAGGCTTAACTGCACTTGATACTTCAGTCAAGTACCTATCAACACTTATTAGCCATGACTGCGAGTGACCGTTTGAGATTGTGAAAGGTATCCTGGACCTATAAGGACTATGACATGAGTTAGCACAACGGTGAAAAGAACCAGAAGGACAAAATAAAATTGCGTTGTCAATAAGTTTAAATATGTTTATTTGTAGATACTGATCATTGTCAAACTGATTGGTCTCAACTTGCAAACTTGTTACTCCTAAATGTGCAAAGGGTTCTGCATAGCCATAATATGAGAGATGAGATTTCACTTGCATTCCATGGGTAAAGTCAAAACAATACACATTCATGTTTAGTTTTACACTCTCTATGTGTAACAATACCAAGGGAACCTAGGTTACACAATTGGTTGCGCTCCCGTCTGAGCTGGAAAGCCCAAGTTCAAGTCTTATACCAACACTGAAAACTCCAGCCACTGCTGTGGTTAAACCAGTCTGCATCAGTGCTGATCCTCAGCCTGGATAATTGAGGAGGGTGAGTAGTTGGAATTATCCATACTCCCCACTTGCTGCTGTGTGTGCTTATGCTTAGCATTGTTTCCTCATGAATCCTCTGACTTATACACTACATAAAAGATGCAAACATTTACATCAAAAAAAATCTATTTTGTAAATGGAATGAAATATTTGTCAGGCATAAATCTCTCAATATTATCGTTTCTCCCTGTAGCCTTACTGCCCAACATTGAGAAGCATGAATCAAAAATTTAACATCACTTGCATGATCCTGAGATTATAATGCAAAATTGCAGACGTGTGACTGAAGAATGTAATGTTATGCTAAACAAGCCACCCCTGCAAACTGTGACCCAATTTCAGTTGAAAATTGTTGCAATCCCTCAGTAAGAACTGAATGACATCCTGTGGGAACAGGAGCTATTGTAACTTGATCTGAACTCCACACCATTTTGCTTTGGATCTTGCAATTCCAAAATTTTAGCTTGTGGCCTTGCTTGGGATCTTTGGAAGCTCTGATGTTATGTCTTGTAAACAGATTTGTTATATGAATAAAGTACCTGCACAATTAACACAAAATTAAATCTCATCAATATTGCAGTTGGTTTACCATGGCTAAAGGATTGAAATTCCATTTTTATTAAAATAATTTTGCAGAACAACTAGTATTTTGGGAAATATGTTCCATTCTTTTGTCCAATTTTGTTTAAAACCTGCAGTTCAGTGATCTGGACCACAGGGATGTTTCGCCTGGTAATCTTAACATTACAAATGCTTTGCACCAAATGTTGGCACTATTTACTTCAACACTTCCTCCATCCACAGTTTAACCTTGAATAAACTTCCAAGTTTACAAAATCCCTCAATTCAAAATGATTTTTGAAGTCATCTGAACTCTTCAGCATGTTAAAACTTTGGATCGTAATCCAATGTAGCTCACACAAACATGGATTCAAGACTTCCCTAGATTCCATTGGTGAAGTCCTGGTGTTTTTTCCACATTGTTATGTAGCTCTGTTGCTAGAAACTTGTGCGTTGCTGTTCATCTGCTCACTATTGCTTACGCAGCCCATTCAAAAAGAGCCTAACTAACTCAAGTCAAGGTAATTCAAAACCAATAGCCCACTGCTTCACATTCCTCAGGGACGTAAACTCTAAAAACAGAACTCAATACCATTAATAATTTCTACTGACCATTTAATTTTCACTTACTGATCCATTTCCTTTCATGAATATTAAATTCTCAGGCATTAAGCCAGTAGAATTTATTTCAGTGCAATTATACTTTACCAACTACTGCATTTTGTACCCGATCCCTTCTGAAAGATCTCAATTTTAATACATCCCAGCTGTGTCACAGATTAATTCTGAATATAGCTGTTCCATCTTCTCCTGACTAATACTCACGTGGGAGCTGTGAGGGACAACTTGACAAGCTGGGCAGAATGAACTTTACCATGTTGAGTTTCTACAGTTGAATTAAAACTATTGTCAACGTGGGGTAAAATCTTTGGCTGACGATCCTTTTCCTCTGTCTGCCATTGCTGTCCTATTTGGGCTTGATAACTGTTAACAAGTATCTATTTGTGGCCCAACTTCTTTTACAAGATCCTCATGCTTTGACGTGGCTGTACTAAGTAGGGAAGTCACAACTGCTGACTTCATTTTCCTGAGCAACCTCTGTGGGCATTGTGCCAAAGTCTACAGGTTCTCTCCCGATACATAGCGACTTTTCAGTTCTAATCTTGGTGTCCGAGGAAGTGATTGATGGTCTACCTTCAGATTTTGTGGATGCTTTAGTGGAATCAGTATATTTAAGATGTCCAGGGGAGTGTTCACATTTAGGCTCAGCTAGGTGTTTGATTTTATAAAGCTCTGTGGTTGGAGAAGATTCCATTGAGGTCTTACTCCAGTTGTTAAGAAACAGGTGGTGTTTTTGTTTGGGGTCAGCACAGTCCTTTATACTAGAGTCTCCTGGGTTGGGTGGTAACTTAACACCATCTGTTCCTACATCCTCATGATCCTCTGACTGGTGAACACATTTGTTCTTCGGTGTGCAATGCATGGTTCCTGTCCTTGTGTTATCAATGTGCTCAAACTGGCTAAGGTCCAGCAAGGTGCTGATGGCATCACATTCTGCTTTAGATACAGGGCGGTTCTGTTCTTGGCATCTATCCAGAGAGTGAGAAGCATGACTGACTGGAGTGCAATTGTCTCTCTGGACGCTTGGTGGAGCCACACTTGCAGACATGATGGGCGAAGGAGTGTTGAGCCGTAAACCTTGAAGCACCTGCAGAATCAATTGGATTTTAATTGTTAAGTCATGATTAATTCTTTACCGAATCCAGTCGCAGGAGAAAACAATCATCTGTAGTTCTTGCTAAGGATAATGGGTGAGGATGGGTTTCAGTTTCCCTGAAGCACTTTGTTTTAAAATTACATCCCAAAGCTAAAAGTCTAGACTTAGCAGAGTCCTTACTGTGAAGAAGAATTAGTAACTGCAGGATAGGAGAGAGGAAAATCATGCAACTTCCCTCCTGTGTTAACAGAATTCAATGAATTGAACAGGCATCTGCAGCTGGAAGTAATTTCAGTTACGTTAATGTTCTGCTTAGAGCAAAGTAGTTAAGGGGAGATTTAACCGAAATGCTAAAAATTGTAGCCGGTTTTGGAGGAGTGTACAGGGAGAAATTTCCACTGGCAGGAGGGTCAGTCACCAAAGGACACAGCTTTAAAAGAAGTAGAGGGCAGTTCGGAATTTTTATTTTAGTGAGTTGTGATCTGGAACATGTTGCCTAAGAAGGTGGTGAAAGCAGATTAAATAACAGCTGTGGAAAGGGAATTGGATAAATATCTGAAAGGGCTGCAGGGAGCTTTTTCAAAAAGAGTTGACCCAGATACAACGACCTGAATGGTCTTTCTCTGGGCTGAGAGATTCTTATACAGTAAATTCTACTTAGCAAAAATGCAAAAAAAGAAAAACAAATGGTGGAGCCACACCACGGCAATAAAGTAACCTTAAGATATTTAAACATCATGATCAACGTTTATCCTAGAGCTGTGTGGATCACATCAAATTGCTGAAGCCTGTTCTCTTATCCCAAAAGTGGAATTCTGCCTATTGATCAGGGAGATGACTGCAGTAAAACAAAAAAAGCCATGCACAAATGACTTTCTAAATTCAAACTAAAAAAGTATCTTTTGAAAACCACATTTCTGCTTCTGCAGTTTCATCCAATAGTTTAAGAGGTAATTACACTGTGGTGGTATCTTTCAATGCAGCCAGGTGGGCAATAGGGAGTTGATGTTGTCTTGGACAGATTGTTGAGGTTCCCTCCTCACATACATTAACCAGGTGAGCTGCCAGCTACAATCTCCTGCAGAGCCTGCCAGACTGAACAATGGAACTCAGGCTGATGTGATTCCTAGCAAGGCTAGCAGCATACAACAGGACCCCTGAACACCTGAGGCCCAGGTTATTTTTGTTGACCTTGGATTTGAGAATACTTTCAGATACTTAAAATGGCAGATGGTGTACAATTTACATCATAAGATCCCAATTTCCATATTAAAATAGGGCCCATCAGCAAGTGGGTACTTTTAGACATTTTGTGGTCAGTCTCTTCTAAATTGATGGCCACATTGCTAGTGTAACGGGGACAAATGAGTTACAGACTTCATTATAAAGGTGGCTACTATCTAGCCAAAACACTCAAAGCCAATCCCAAATAGATTTAAAATTTTACAAAAAAAAGTATTGCAGAAGCTTAAGATCTGAAATGAGAACAATATGCTGAAGAAACTCAGTAGATCTGACAGCATTTATGGATACAGTTCATGTTTCAAATCCAATACTTCTCCTTTGGTACTGCAGAGTTCTGAAGGATCATATTGGACTTGGAAACATTAATTGTTTCTCTCTCCTTAGATGCCACATGCACCCAGTTTCTTCAGCACATTCTGGTTTTATCTCATACAGCGTTACTGGAGCATTCAACACACCAACAGCTTGCACTTCTATAGCACCTTTAATGTAGTCAAATGCCCAAGGTGCTTCATGAGTATTATCAAACAAATTTTAACATCAGGACAGAGGAGGAGGTATTAACACTGGAAACTGAAAACTAGGTCAAAGAGATCATATTAGGGAACAGCTTAAATAGAGGAGTTTAGGGAGGGAATTTCAGAGCTGAGCCCAGAGGATGCTGAAGACAGAGCCAATGAATTAATGAATATTAGGGATGTACTGGAGTTCAAGAGGAAAGCCTTTGCAAAAATGCTGCATCTGAACCACCTACAATGTTCCAAGTGTTGCAACATTACCTGGCGTGTGGGAAGTGAAAGATGATTGTAAACCCGATAACCAGATGGCAGCATTGGGTCAGTGTAGAAAAACTCACATTGATGGATGGCAGGCACTGAAACACAATAGTAGAAAGTTGATGAGACAGTGAGTTAGATGTTCCCTTTTATTTAAGCCTCACCAACAATTTGCATTTAGATAACATCTTCCATGTAATATCACATCCCAAAGTTGCAAGATAAAGATAATGGTATCAATGAAAATCAAACTTTTTTTTAAGGAAAAAAAAAGTCCTCTGTACCAATATTTATTGTCCATCCCAAATTGCCCTGTGAAAGTGGTGGTGAATCGCCTTCTTCAATGGGATTTATTAGACTGTGTTAGAGGTAAGCCAAGGGTCAATTGGTGTAGGTCTGGAGTCACATGTAGGCCTGACCGGGTAATGACAGCAGCTTTCCTTCCCCAGAAGGACATTGTGAAACTATTGGATTGTTGGTAAAAAGCCATCTGGTTCATTAAGTTGCCTTTACTGAGCTCAGCTTTTGAAGCACTGATTTAATTAATGGAATTTGAAATCTCCAGCTAACAGATTTTAAAACAAAGTTGAGTGTTCTGGGGCAAAATTGTCAGAGGTATTTGGTATGAACGTCCAGTACCCAAACAGGATAGTTATTTGTTCACAGCAGCTCACTATGTCAGTTTGCTTGCCACAATCTCCTCTAGAGCACTAACTACTGTTGGGGAGATGGTGATGTAGCGGCAGTGTCATTGGACCCGACGCCTAGACCAGTGCTCTTGGAATTTAAATGCAATTAAGAAAATTTGGAATTAAAAACTACTCTTGCTGATGGTGACCATGACATCATTAATCAATTGTCACAAAAATCCATCAGGTTAACTTGTGTCCCTCTAGAAAGGGAATTTTCTAACCTGTTCTGGCCGACATTTGACTCTAGATCCATCGCAATGGGTTGACTTTTTATTGGCCTCTAACAGATAAGCAAGCCAATAACTTCAAGGGCAGTGAGGAATGGGAAATAAATGCTGGCCAGTGACTCCACGTCCTGTGAAATAACGTGCTGAAAATACACAGCACTTAAAGTAACTTACTGATTTTGAACAGCTTAGGGCTTGCCCTGTGGAAGTGAAAACCTCCATATAAATGCTCTTTATGCCTTTTGGCATTCAAATGAGGAAGATGGAGATGTAAAGCAGAGTTGAACAAGAGAGATCTTCAGTTGCACAACAGAATGTTGCTTGGCAATGCCTTGTACTGGGATCTTAAAAGCATGTAACGTCTGTATCACTGTTTTGGATTAGATCACTACAGAACTCTTTACTTACTGTGAATCTCTTGGGAACGGAGGATGCTGGCTTCAGATTTTATTGTGAGGTCAGGCTTAGAGTGGGAATCTGTGGAATCTTTGTTCTTAAATCTGGAGTCATCGAGTTCAGCAAGGAAGCTCTGTGACTGCTGAGATGAAACAGCAGCATAAAAGGAGTGAAAAGATGGGTGTGATAGAGTCCTATTGGAGAATGGAGCAACAACACCTGAATGGGTCACCTGAACAAAAAGAAGAGGTATGCCTGTGAGTACTCAAACTTCTGTGCGTTGACTTAAAATTGAACCATGAGATTAATTAATGACTCAGGGCCCAGAAAAGATCTACGTGTCTGAAATTCAGAATCCATTCTGTGCTGCCACGATCCAATACAAGGTGTAAGGGCAGTATAAATTCAGTTTGAAAGTTGCCCAAAATAGTCAGTATTATGCATGGACGTTCCGCCTGATTATTCAAAGGAACTGGATGTTGGATCAGAGAAGGGCCGGAGTGTTAAGAGCTGCAGTCAGCCAAATAATCTTATGGGCCTCAGAAAGTACATTCTCCCAGGACCCAACAGAATAATTCAAGTTTATCTCTGAACGGCCTTTTCTACTCTCCCCAAACAGAGTTGAGAACAGACAACCTGCATGATATTGGCTGTTTTGCATAATCCAACAGGACAACATTGGAAAGTTCAGCACCACAATGGCATCTTGCCATAATTTTGTCTTTGGAGGGGTTAGTTTAAGTTTCCCATCAATAGCCTAATCCACTGGTGGCAGTACATTAAAGGGGAGAAGAAAGCCCAAAACTGACAATTAATGGTTGTGCCTACCTGCAACTTGGATGCACCTACATCAACAGGAGACTGTCTCCCACTGGAAACAACAAAAGCTCGTGGCCCCAGTTCATTGTAACCGACTCTTCACTCTCAACATCCTGCTTAGCCAAGCAAACAACAGCAGACTAGGAATATTAAATACTGGGAATGTGCAGCAAGTCGATTAGCATTCCATAAAAGGATGAGATGGCATTTCAAGAGTCTGCCATGGAAACAAACAGTGGCATCCCCACTGACTCCACATACTCAAGTGTAATTAATAATGGAGATCTATGGCAGACACACTCCAGGATCAGTGTGAATTTTTAGGGGTTATACTGCCACAGAACACGCAGAAAATTTTAGACAAAGAAATTCCTTTTCTTTAGAGAATGGCTGTGAAACAGGAGACTTCTCAAGAAAGGGAGGGAGGAGCAGCCATCCAACTGCTTTCACTCACTTTTAAGGTTGAATAAAAGTGATATTCATGTAGGCCTGAAAACCTGAGCTGAGTTGGAATAAATGCACTAGTGGGCCAATGAAGTGGGAGAAGTGATACCAGAAAGTAAGGTTCAAACCTTTCTGTACTGGGAAACGTTCCCTGAACTGGATGTGCCTGCATCTCCAACGTTGTTAAATGATGAGGATTTATCTCTGTCCGATGACAACGGAGAAAACCGATCGTGGACTGTCTCTCCCTCTCCTAGGTGAGAAGGAAGCATTATTACCAGGAGTTCTGTGCAGCCTTTAAGTATAGAATGATAAAGTATTGGGCATACACATCAAGTTAGTCAGATGTCAACATCTGAAGAAAATATACAAGTGACAGCACTGGAGGAGGCCATTCAGCCCCTCGAGTCCATTCCACTATTCAGTAAGATCATGGCTGATCTGACTGCAATCTCAGCTTCACCTTTCCATGTACCCACGATAACCATAAGTTACTGACCAACAGGAGAATCAGCCTACCTCTGCTTTAAAAATATTCAATGACCCTGTTTCCACTGCAGTCTGGGGAAGTGTTCTAAAGACTCAAAAAAAAATCCTCTTCATCTTATTTAAATGGAAGGCTCCTGATTTTTAAATTGTTTCCCCTAGTCCTAATCTCTCCCACAACGGCAAGCATCTTTTCAGCATCCACCCAGTCAAGTCTTTCAACAAAAAAAAATGTTCATGCTACCTGATTGCATTAACATTTCTAAGTGCCCTACTAGAAGATATGTGTTAAAATTAAAGAGATTTACTGATATAATAATTGATCATATATACAGAATTAGAAAACACACCGACTTCCCTGTAATAACAAGGTGTAGAGCTGGATGAACACAGCAGGCCAAGCAGCATCACAGGAGCAGGAAAGCTGACGTTTCGGGCCTAGACCCTTCTTAATCTTATCAATTCTCTTACCTTCAGTATGCAGGTATGAGAAAGAACTCTTTATTCCAGGACTATTCATAGCATTCTCAAACTCCCTGTAATACTGAAATGGGGGAGGTTCCCCAATGATCTGCAACAGGGACCTATAGCAAAAATAAATAATGACCAGTCACAGGCTCAGAGATTTGGTTTCATCCCTCCAAAACACCAACCTTATCCTTAGTCGATCTGGCAACTGAATCCGTGGCCCAATTGCTTTGTTCATCAGTCCCTTCCACGGTGAGGCACTAGGTAACAATACCCATTCAGTTTCTTTTGTTTCATTGCTTGGCTGGTTTCATCATAGCCAGAGTTTAATTGGTCTTCAGACAGATAAATGACTGACCCAACTGGAGTAACTTCCAGCACTTTGATCTTTTTATTGTTTCTGTTTCTTTACCCAGACAGCAATGATAATGTGGCACTCAATACTACAGGGAATGGTTCAGATGTACAGCATTTTATGCAGATAAACATGCAGGAGAAAGGAACAGAAGGGTAGACTGATAGTGTGACATAAAAGGTGGGCAGGAGCAGGCTCCTTTAAACCAAGAACACCAGCATGGCCCAGATATCAAGTCGACTGTTTCTGTTCTACACAATCTGTGTAATAAAAATTCGATTTTCAGCAACTATAGTTTTATTTTTGTTTGTTGTTTATCAAGTACAGATGTTTCTTATGCTTGCTTTCAAGTTTGTCTACATTAAACTTCCAGTTATCAGTAACGCAAACCTTTCTTATCATTCCTGGACAGCATCCTCCAAGTCCAATGCCTCTCCCCCACTCCTTGTTCTCCGTTCAAAGTTTGGTGTCACCTGAAAATTTAACTATGTCACACTGAAGCTTTGTAAATTTAGAGTCAAATGTTTTTTTTCTTATTGCTAATAATAAAATATTGATGAATGATGAAAAGAGGGGTTTTTGGCCCTGCTCTCCTGGAAATACCAATTCTAACTGCATTACAACCCTCCAGGATACTTTTCCCCACCCCCACCCCCACCCTGTTCTTCACTACTAAACTGAAAAATTGGGGGCTGGCAAGCTAATAGAGTAGAGGGCTCACCCAGAATTTTCTTTGTCCTAGCAGGGATAATGGAGTGGAACCAAAGTAGACAGTCCCTCCACCCTCAACTCATGATTATGGAACTCAATTGTAATAACATTTCATGCTTTTATGCAACTGAATCAATTCTTTGCAGATCAGTGAATTTGAAACTTTACCCTATTGCACTGTTCATAATCAGAATCCCTACAGTATGGAAGCAGGGCATTCAGCCCATCAAGTCCACACTAACCCTCGAAAGATCCTCCCGCCCAGACACACTGCATGGACTGTTTCAATACTTAAGGAATTGCTAGGCTATTTCAGAGGGCAGCTAAGAGTCAGCTGCATTGTTGAGCATCTGGAGTTACATGGAGGTCAGACCAGGTGAAGGTGACAAATTTCCTTCCTTAAACAGGACATTAGTGAACCAGATGGGATCTTATGACAGGTTGCATTCTTGTCATAGGCCAACTTTTTTATTCCAAATATTTATTGAATTTGAATTCAAATCCATGGCTACAGAACATTAACATGGCATTTTGGATTACTGGACCGGTGACATCGTCACTACACCATCACTTAAAGGACACTAGTGAACCAATAGATTTTTAAGAGTACAGATGATGCTTTCATGGTCACCATTGCTGAGATTAGTTTCTTTTCTTAATTAAATGAATTTAAATCCACCAACTAATGCAGTGGGTCCCATGGCTCTAAAGCATTTTGCCTGGGGCCTCTGGATTACAAGTTTAGCATTGTTAACACGACGCCAACATTTCCTTAACACAACTCGACTCAACATTTCTCTCCAAAGAAAGAGAACACAGATTTAGGGAGCACTTTGGAAGCCAGCAGTATGTGGTGACATATCTTGTGGGGAGTACCTGAGATAGTCGTGTTCTCCAGTTAATTCCTCATCAGACAGCATATTGTCAAAATCGGAAATGTAGTCATCCGAATCAGAAGATGTGGATTCTGGGCAATCCCAGCTTTGATTCCCCCTGCTCCCTGAATGTTGGTCACTTCCTTCGCCCATTGCTGGTTCACAACTCCACAGTCCTTCCTCCTCTACAGTTACAGGGATAAAGAAATTACAATTAAGTTAATTTGTGCTAAAAAGTGTAGGCAGAGAATTTAAAATGTAGTAAAAGGTAGGTGCAGATGTGACTCAGCTAGAAACCCTAGAATTGTAAGGGGGATCTCATTTCAGAAGTGTGTACTTTATGAAATGGTAGCTCCCACCTTGTGATAGAACAGGCATTAAAATCTGGATGTGGAATATCACTGACTAATTTTCCCCAATTATTAGCCCATAGTACCTATGGAGCAGAAATATTAGAATCTTCGAATGATAGAATTCCTACAGTGTGGAAACAGGCCCCTCAGTCCAACAAGTCCACACTGACCCTCAGAACATCCCAACCAGACCCATCCCCCTACCCTTTCCCTGAACCTACCTAATCTACACATCCCTGAACACTACAGGCAATTTAGCACAGCCAATCCACCTAGCCTGCACATCTTTGGACTGTGGGAGGAAACCAGAGCACCCAGCAGAAACCCACACAGACATGGGGAGAATGTGCAAACTCCAACAGACAGTCACCTAAAGATGGAATCGAACCTGGGTCCCTGGTGCTGTGAGGCAGCAAAGTTAATAACTGAGCCACTGTACCAATGTAGGTGAGTAAACTCTTCCTCTCTGTATGTCTTTCAATTGGAGAGAATCATCTCCCCTCTGGGTGTAGCTGTAATGCAAACAGATGCAAAGTTGTTCATACGCTAACATGACAATTCTAAGGGTGAAAGTACCCACTCAGTGAACCATACGGACCTGGCGGCTGTGCTGAGTCACTCACCATCAGGTGATCAGTTCTACAATTTGGAGTCAGTGCCCAAGCAATTCAGAATGGATTCCCACTCCAAATTACTATTTAGTGCCCCTGCTTGGAAGGGCAAGTAAAGGATAGGATCAAGTGTGATGCCTTCTATAGTCGAATAGGCTGGCAACACATTCTTTCATGCTCATTCTTGAAGAATGGCCAAGTTGCTGGTGCCCATGGAAACGACATGAGCCACTGCCATTAAGGAGAGGACAAACACTCCAGGAAGCAAAAAAAAAGAGAAAAGAACATGCTGGGGAGAAAAAAAGCAGTGATTTTATTTTTCCAGCTGTCAAGCTCCAGTTTGCAAACTTTGCTGTTCTTCCCACAGCCATCGTTGATCAAAAAAAAATTGGAATTACTTGCCTCTATTGCATGCAGAATTGAGGCTTGCTCCTGTCTTGGGTGGGCTACAACTGTCTCTGCTTGGAGTGGCATAGTTAGCCACGACACAGTCCGAAACTCTAAGGTCGGCCTCGACGACGGCATTATCGGTGTCTTCCATCTCTTGGTCAAAATGTCAGCAAAACCAGGAGTTGCATCATGAGAGGAGGTACCAGCACCAGGAGTCTAAAGGACAATGGCAAGTTACCAATCTCCACCCACATCCTAAACACGTTTGCCAAGTAGCACATGGTACAGTGATCTGCAGGTAGGACCAGCTGGACTTAAACTGGCTTTGGACCAACTCTGAAGGAAGTTTTTTTTAAAAAAGCAAGTGTGGTTTAATGTAAAAGTGATGTAGAACACTCAGATGACAGTGCACCCACTCTGTTTTATTGCAGCACACAGACAAAGTTCAATTCCCAGTCTGTGTTGATGGAAGCACCTGCAAGGGTGGCATTCATTGTTAATCCAATGGACACCAGCTCCAGTGGCTGTAATAATGGAGTAATTCCTACCCCCACCATTGGAAAACTGAGAGCGGATGTTACACAAGGACAGGATCAGGTTTGACTGGGGTACCTCTTATGGACTAATCGTGACAAATACATTCAAACATAAGGAACATCTACACGAGTCATAGCCACCAGTAGAGTGTCAATAATTGGGAAGGAGAGGGGTTGCCAAAGGGCACAAAATAATATTGCTTAAACTCACTAGAGACTTAGTTCCTCACCATTTTTCTCAAAGAGAGAAGAAAATGGCTGAAGATTGAGGTAAACACAATCCCTGGAGCGAGGGACTGAGCTTGATGTGGGGGAAAAAAGGGATGCGATGTCCAGCCTGAAAATGGGTGAGTGGCATGCACCTGATATGTGGAAAATAGGTGGGACAGGCCTGCTAGGGTGAAAGGGGAGCTTTGTGGAGAAGGCAGGGCTGATAATGGATTAGGAAATGGGCCCAAAATTGGTTTGATATGGGTCAGGAAGGGTATGGATGAGGAAAGCAGAGAGGCCTAATATAGGTGAGAAAGGGTGTGGATCACAATGTGTGTGTGGTCTGATAATGCACAGTAGCTGGACTGAAACAGGCGAGAAAGGGCATGGATCACAACGTGTGTGTGTGAAGGGTCTGATATGGACGAGTAGCTGGCCTGAAACAGGCGTTAAAGGGTGTATATGGTTGCGGGGCGGGGTGGGGTGTAGCAGTGGGAAAACTGATATGGATGGGGAGTGGGGTGGATTAGCCGCCAGGGGCGAGTAGCCGGCCTGAAAGGATGTAGCCTGATATGGGCGAACACTGCGCCTGTTTTGTGCAAAAAGGCTAGAGCGGGGACAGTCCCGAAGGTGGATGAAGTTGGTGTGTGATATGGGGGGGTGCAAGAGAGAGAGATGAAGTCGGCCTGTCACCGGCTTATGGCTGGAGGAGGGGCCTGATTTCAGCGCCGGGCCTGAAACGGGCGGCCGCCGGATCCTGCGCAATGTTGCGAACGCTGGGGGGGGGGGGTGGGGGATCGACGACCGTTAGCCCCAAACCGCCGGCTCTCGCGCAGCTGTTAAAATTCACCCGCGCGAGGGGGGCAATGCGCAGGCGCACGGCCGGCCTAGGGTCCGAATGAGGACCGTGTCGGGTGAAGGCGGCCGACAACGTAGAGAGAAGGCAAGATGTCGCAACCTGCCGGACTCGGTAGGAAAAACAACTGGTGTGGCGTCTTTCGTACACGAACGTACGCTCGTTAACACCACACCCCTCCTGCCCCCAGCTCTTCTTCTCACCGGCCAGCTCCCGAG